CGTCAGATTTTGAAATAAAACTACCAAAGTATTCTATTAGATGAAACAAATGAATAGAAAAAACATGACATTTGTTGACCGCACCAAACTATAAATATATTGACAGAAAGTTAAAAAAATAACTAAATTATATGAATTTTCATACGAACGAATAGAGTGGGGAGTTAAACTATCTCTCTCACTCTCACTGCCCCACTCTAGTAAGCGGCCCGGTAAATTTTTAGCCAGAGCCAGCAGCGCGACTAATACCTTAAATAGAAAACAAGTGAATTTCACAAAATATTCAATGGATTTTTTGCCCTGGCTTTTTTGCACCCAAGACCAGTTATTAAAAAATTGGACAAGTGCGAGTTGTACTCGCACTGCAATGGCGGGTTCCGCACACAAATATTAAAACAATACTTGCAACATTGATCGGTAATTGGTAGAATTAAAATAAACAATTATAAAAATATATTAAAATCATTTGATAAAAAAAATAACTAAAAAAATTAAAGTATTGTATATATGGGTGATTCTCCTGAAAGGGACCACTTCACGTGTCTCCAACATGAGGTTCATTATTTAAATTAATTTTTCATTAATATTTTATCAAGTTTAAATTTTTTGAAAAATTTATTTATAATCTACGAAGATTTATCTATCTTTATATAATCTTCTATTGCTTATATTTAAATTTCTTCCTATTTAAAAAACATATTTAATTTTGTCATCGAATTTTGGTTAAACAGAATGTATATTTTATAATTATATTTTAACGTATTTAAACAATTTCAACATATTTATGATATATATCAAATTAAAGTTTAGAATATAAGGATTATTTTTTACTTACATTTGTTTAAAATAAGGTAAAAAAAGTTATTTAAATTATTAATTAAAATAGTATTATCAATGAGAGTAAAAATTAAATTCATCTCCGAAGCCTCATTTTCTATATAATAACATCATATTTTTTAACGTTTTAAACATAATATGTAATCGATGTGAAAATATTTGATGATTAAAACTAAAAATATTTTTTAAAAAATTGTAATATTTTTAAAATTAGAAAAAATGAGAATTTTTTCATTAAATTATCAATTCATCTCCGAAGCCTTTTTTATATTTGATAGGCGTTTTCTTTTGTTTTTAATTTTTTAATCATTGTTTTGAAATATTTAACCCTCAAATTAAATTATTAATTTAATAAAAATAAAATATACAAGCAAAAAGTGCAATAAATTAAAACATAACAATTTATTATTTAAAAAAAATATTCCTACCGAGTTTTTTTTACAAAATAATTAATTTAAAAGTTATAATTAATTATACTTAACCTCTAGAACACATGATAGTAAAATGTTCCTGGAGGTCTTATTTCTGAAAATTAATTTTGCGCAACTTATATTTTTATCTTTAAACATTTTCTAAACTTATTTATGAAAGAAAAGTAAGAAAAAAAGAATAATTTGATTTTTTGGAAATTCAACCAAAAAAGGGTCCCTTTCAGGAGAATCACCCATATCTAATATTGTAAACAATAATAAGCAGAGGAACTATAATAAATTTTGAAAATTTTGTTCCTCTGCTTATTATTGTTTACAATATTAGATATATACAATACTTTAATTTTTTTAGTTATTTTTTTTATAAAATGATTTTAATATATTTTTATAATTGTTTATTTTAATTCTACCAATTACCGATCAATGTTGCAAGTATTGTTTTAATATTTGTGTGCGGAACCCGCCATTGCAGTGCGAGTACAACTCGCACTTGTCCAATTTTTTTTTATTTTTAGTTAAGAAATTAAAGTCAGAAAACAATCTCTCATTTATTCTCTTCAAATTTCACTCTCTTCCTTAAAATATTTAATGCCACGTGTTTAAACTAAAAAAAATTAAAAAAATTTTTTTTTTGATTTTTTTTCAAAAAGTTTCTTAAATAAATTTTTTGTCGTCAGACTGTAATAATACACTAGGATACCAATTTTCAGCTCATTAGGTAAAATAATGTAAAAGTTAGGAAAAAAAATTTTTTTTTTAAAAATTTTTTAGTTTTTCCTTGACAACGCTATGGCCATCATTACATATCAAGTTCTCTATATTTTTCCTGTAATATTCGAGTAAAAATACACCAGCATGCAAAATTTCAGCTCTCCATGTCGAATAGTTTAGAAGTTAAGGGGGGGGAATGGTCACTTTTTATGCATTTTTGGCCAAAAATCTTGTTATTTCCTTGACAACGCTATGCCCATCACGTCCAATCACATTCGCTATATTTTTCCTGTAATCTACGAGTGAAAATACATATCTGGACCAAATTTGAGCTCTTTAGGTCAAATAGTTTAGCCGCTAGAGGGGGGGGACACGATTTGGCTACGGACAACAGAGTCTCACCAATAGGGTTCCGCCGATACACCGTAGGTGTACGGAACCCTAAAAAAGCAAAAATAAATTGTTAATTCAGTTCAATTTCTAAAAATTAACATTGTATACGTTTTCGGTATACTTTTCTCCTTATGTACAAACATTTACTTTTACTATTCGTTCACTTAATCAGATTGTAATATGTTTGAAAAGTTCACCAAAATGTTTTCAAAAAAGCAACAAAAAATTAAAATTACAATAAAAACAATATTAATGTAGGTACAACATTCAAATTAGATTCAAAAGTTGCGTATTACCTAATAGTATTTATATTCTAAACAGCTGATAAATCGGCTTAATAGTTTTTAAATAAAACTCAAATGGCTTTTTTACACCATGGCTTTTTTACCCCACTCTACCCTATATATTATTAATTAATAATATCTCAATAATAATTGAATAATTGTTTCTCAATATAATAATATTGAAGGTAATGATATTAATAATTTTAATTAATATCTTAATAATAATAAATTTATTGTTATTGATAAACAAATGACAAGTTTATTATTAATTAATATTAATATTGATAATTTATTATTAATTCTCAACAATATTAATGTTAATTAATAATATCTTAATAATAATAAATTTATTATTATTGAGATGTTAATTAAAATTATTAATATTATTACGTTCAATATTATTATATTGAAAAACAATTATTCAATATAATATGTATTATATAATAATAAAAATATAACAAGTTTCTTTTTTAACGAAATATTGAAATAGTCCTAAATATACATTCAATAAAGTATTGAAAATATAGCGGTATCATTGACGCGTAGTAATTCTGCAAGTTTTATTTGAGCTAGTGACACTTGAGAGTATTTAAGATTTGAGAGTCCCATGCGAGCGTAGCATAGTGGTTAGCGTGCGAGATTTCGGTGCGTAAATATTCGGTTAGGCGTAGGTTCGTACCCCCCAAGCGTTAGGATTTTTCAAATGTGTATGTAATAAAAAATTGCGTTTAAGTGTATAAAAAAATGTGTAAAGTGAACTGTCAATGAATTGTCATTAGTATTTATCTTTTGCAATTAATTATTATTTTTTTTATTGATATTTGTTGAAATTATCATTTGGATCCGATCCGGTTGTCAGTTGGTAGAATGCCAGCGCTCGGCTGGCTATTAAATGAAAAATCCACGGTCGGTAGAGTGCCAGGTCCCAGCCGGTTGAATTATACACGGAACGGCTTCTCCCGGCCGGTCAGCGGGCGGTAGAATGCCAGTTCCGAGCCGGTTGCCAGCGCGCTCCTGGCCTAGTCACTATTCGGTAGAATGCCCGTTCACATTCGGTTGGCAGGCGGTTCCGAGCCAGTACAGTTACACCAGCGTCAGTACGGGCTAGGATCCGCGCCGGTTGGAAATTTCCGCCTGGGACACTGTTACATACATTAGCGCCATTTTTTCTGCTGTACATAACAAATAGCTAGACCCCCCCCTCCCCTTTATAATGTTACGTAATTTGTGAACGCTCCCTATCCTTTCCAAGGGCAGTCTACACGGAGAGAAAGTTGAATAGTCAAAGACAGTGCACACTATAGAACTGTGGAATATAGTGAAATTTCACTATGATTTGCAGTGCCATCTTTGAACAAGAGAATGTATTCACCTTGATATACAGTGATTTCTGTTTCACTGAAAAAGTCAGTGTCATCATTTTAATGCTTAATGCTTCCATATAGTTTTTAGGTGGACAACATTTAAATTTATTGTTATATTTAGCAAGATATTTTTCGATGATTAAATTGGAAAAAATATTTATTTAATTCAAATAATTATTATTTGGGTCTAATAAATATTTATTTCCTTCCAATAACTTGAATAATTTTAATTATATTTATTTCATTCAAATAAATAGGTATTTGATATAAATGCAAATTATTTTTCTCAATTAATTTTAGGTAATTTTATGTTAATAATATTTTATAAATAATATATATGGTTAGCATTAAGTCCTTATAGAATGTAGAGTCAATAATACAAAATTTGAATTTTATTATTAATTTTGTTTTATTCATCTCGAAAAATAATTATGAGTTTTAAAAATATTGAAACATTTGTATAAAGTAATTTCAAGAGTTTATTTACATAAGAATTAACCGTTTTTGTACATTTATAAAATGTGTCTTGTAAACACATAAGAAATTTTGTTTTTTAAATAGATTAAACAAGGAGTTCTTAATGCAATCGAATCGTATTGAATTATTTTCTGTTTATTCTCATCTTCTAAAACACTAAACGCGAAAAAATGATCATTGAATCCAACTATACGAAGAGGGATAAATTTGAAGAAGATTGAGTTGTCCACTAAATAAATTCTCTGGATTTGTCCAAAAATAGGTCCATTGTCTGTTATGCTTGCAACGATAACAGTTCCACACTTGTAAGTTACGTCATTGATTGTAACATTATTTAATGTTTTTCGAGTATTTGATAACGGAAAATAAAAATGAACAACCGAGTCATTTTGTACCTCTGCACCATACGTAACATACAAATTTCTATATTTCGATAACATGAAATGAGTCAGACTTAATTGCTTTCTAATTCCAACAGATAATAAAATGTTTTTGTTCGAAGCAATGGCATTTAAAATTGTTTTTATTTCTCTGTGTTTGGATTCAAAACGCATTGACGATGTCTTGATAAGTGGTCCATTTTGTAATATTAGTCGTTTATAATGGAGCATAAAGTGAAATTTTGGTTTTAATTTTCCAAATAATTTAACGTACAATGCGTGATGCTCTTCAATCAAAATTTCCAACTGAAGAAGATGAGAATGACTAATCTTTTCTTGTCAATACTGTGAACTAAAAAAATATACTTTTTGAAAATATGACAAAAGAAACAAAAACATATCAAATTAAAATTTGTGTATATATATATATATTATATAAAAAGCCAAATAACCATTATATTTAATATAAAAATATTAAATAACTGAAATCTCCCATGTCTCCAAAATTTAAATAGCTACATGATTTATATTTACAAACAAAATTTAGGTATATTTCAAATCAAAAATCAGTGAGAAATTATCAAAACGTAGAGTAAACAGGTAGAAAAAAAGTCAAGTTGAAAAGCTTATGCATGTTAAAATTAATTTACGTAAAAATAATAAGGGTGAAAATTATATTATAATATATTATACATTAATTATATAATATATTTAAAAAAAAATGTGGGCATTTCAGGTCTTTACTCACAAATCATACCATTATCGAAATATTATATACAATTTTATTCACTATAAATTATTTTCAAGGTGACTTTTATACTTACATCGGAATACTTGTTGAAGCATTGGAAAATTCCAATTTCTTAAATTTTCTTTTACGTAATCGTCCATATTATTTAATAAAAACACTTTATAGACACAAGATAACAAATTTCAATACACGCAATAAAAACAGGAACGAGAAAAACTTTAGATTTTATTTATTATACAAAATAAAAAATCTATTCATTCGAACAACTCTATCTCAAATCACTGTCAACAGAAAAATCTATGTATACTTCGAAAAACGATATGATCGACATAGTATATTTAATTGTAGAAGTACATTCAAATTTTCTATGACGGACAGTGTCAGAAATAGTGGCGCCACTAACGAAATCAGTGACAGTCATCGACATTTCAGATTCCTACTTGTTCATGAAAATATAATAAGAGTTCATCGTATTTTAATGTGATGACACTGTGTTTGACAGGTAAACTTTCTCTCCGTGTACTTTTCGCCGCCAACTCACTCCCATATACCTGCTCGGCGTCGAAATCTCGCTCCCGGACCCTTCCCCCACTTTACCTTCTTTCCGGGCACCGTCAGTCAGACATACATGGTATGAACTACTTCTCCCCCCCCCCACAAAGATGCAGTCAAATTTCATTGACGCCCTTCCCCTGTAATTTTATTCTTAGATTTGGAAGGAAAATTCCCGTAGAAATCGCAATTATCTTTATAAATAACAAAATTCTTCTCCAAAGTTCAATTATTTTAATAAATGTTAAAAAAATTCTTGTCCTAATTTCAATTATATTCAATAATAACATTTTTTTAAGGAATTAAAAAAAATGTAGCACTTCTGCTGCTCGCCGCGGAGGTCTACAAAAAACTTAGCACCGTTCACTCATAAAGGGTATAAATAACCCTTTAAGTAAAACTATTCAAAAGTGTAATTCATATTAAAAAGAATGATTGATTGTCTAAAATTGTATTAAAAATAATATAATAGAAATCCTGTGTAGAATTTTCTTATTTAAAAATAATCGAATTTACGTAAAGAACTGAATACTAGCGGAGGGGAGAGTAGAAAATTTGACTGCATCTTTGTGGGGGGAGAAGTAGTTCATACCATGTATGTCTTTACGTCTGACTGTACAATATATATATATATATATATATATCCGTCAGTCATAGGAAAGTATGGGAATCGCATTAGTCTGTCTCACTCCCACTCATGGGATATGACTGACGTGGTAGGTTTTCGTATATATATATATATGTACTAGGGGGGCTTCGTCCCCCTGCGCGCCAACCCCCTATCTCTATTTTTATATTTATTTTAATATTTATAAATTTAAAGTAATTTTTTCTTAATATGAATGCATCTTAATAAATTACATACAATACATATATGACAACATACACATAGATTTTGACGCAATGTAACAATCGTTATGGACCTTTTTTATCTATATGTCAAAAATTAAATTAAACTTTGACATATATTTTGACCCATTTTAACCTGTAGGTTAAAAAGACGTTAAATTTTAAATAGATTTTGACGTATCATAGATACGTTTGTTGTCCTTTATTGTCCCTTTTTAAGTTGTAGTTAAATAAAAGTCAAATTACACATAGATTATGACGTAACTAAATAACAGAGTAAAAATAAAACGTCAAAATTAGGTCAAAATGATAGGTGTAAGAGCAAACACAATTTTAAAATTACCTTACTTTGTTAGGTCAGATACCAAACTTCACCTCATCATTAAGTCTGCGCGCGTAAATTGTTTGACAAATTTTGACCTCTAGGTCAAAACTGCCTTCAAACTTGATCTAAATTTTAGCGGGAATTCTTTGTCAAATTTTGATGCGTAGGTCAAAAATGCCCTCAAAATTGACCTAAATTTTGAGGGTAGCGGGAATTGTTTGTCAAATGTTGACGTCTAGGTCAAAACTGCCCTTAAAATTGACCTAAATTATTAGGGTAGCGGGAATTCTTTGTCAAATTTTGATGAGTAGGTCACAACTACCCTTTAACAATTACATGAGAAAGTAATTTCTCATTCCAATTTTTTATACTCTTATTCCCTCTTAGACTATATAAACAGTCTTGTTTAAGCTGACGAATGGGATAACTTGTGTTGAGTCCCAAACTGTTCAGCTATGAAACTTCTAATACTATAGTGTGTACCTGTCACATATTATTCTATAAAGGACTGCATAAATCATTTTTCCATTTTTCTCCGTGTTCTTTTACTTGAAGCATTTCTATATTCTCATGTTTCAAAATTATTAATTTCTTGCGAGAATGTTATATTTTCTGGAATGAAATATTTTATTTATTCAATTCAATTAAGTGTAAGATCTTGAATTAAATCATTCTTTTGTTTCCTTTAAAAAAGTTTTTACTTAATTCAACGCTCATATAATCCTGATTCAAGAAAATACGAAGGTTAATATAAGTAAATATTTGTTTCAAGTTGATTAAAAATTATATTCAATTAATCCCATATTTATTTGAAGAAAGAAATTTATTTTCTTGTGTCAAGTAATTATTAGCATTGAACAGAATTCTTGAATTAACAATTTAGTATTTGGCAGAACTCAATATGTAATTATTTCAACCAAATATTTTACTTTTCCGAAGTACCAAAAAGTATTGAATCTAGAATATCATGTTCTTAAGCGAAATAATAAAGTATTGTCTGGAGAATTCATGTTTCTTGAATCGAATCATTTTATTTATTTGCTTTGAAACTTTTTTTTACTTAACACAATGCCGGTGTTCTTGATCCAAGAAAATATTTTTCTTCAAATGTATATGCAACTTAAATATCAGTTTTTGAAAACTGTCCATTGAGGCTAGGATGGCATAGTGGTAGCGTGACGGCTTCTGGTGCGTGCAACCCGAGTTCAATTCCTCCGACCGTGGAAAATTTTCTTTCAAGGTATATTTGTTGTATTTGTGTTAAGTAATAATTAAATGTAAATATATATGTAAAATAACAATTATTTAATTATTTAAATAAAAAATATAAATGTTAATTAATTAAATAATAAAAATGTTTGACCTAAGTATTAGAAAAGATGGGATGGGGGTAAGGGGGGGGGTAATTTAAGTAAATACTTTACTTGTATTGAGAAAGTATTTTTTTGATTGAAATCTATAAATTTTCTCAAATCAAGAAAATATTTTCTTGGACAGAGAACATACTTTCTTGATTTGATACATAAATGATTTTGAATTAATATATTCTGCATTTCTTACATGCTACTTAACTTCTTCGTCGAATTCCATATTTTCTTGGATCAAGAATATCTGTTCTTCTCACAAAATAAATGTTTTCTTCATTTAAATCTTGAATTACTTGAACGAATGTTACAAAAAATTGAATGAATCAAATCGTTGTACTGATAGTTGAACAGGCGTGCATATGTGAACCTAATGCTACACACTTATATAAAAATAATTTGAATTTTTTTATGTCATAATATTATTTTCAATTCAACGGAATTATATGTATGAAAAGAATTTTTTGTCAAATGTTATAAATAATAATTAAAAATTTTTTGTTAAAAAAATTTTCTCTTTTATTTTTAAAAATATTGTATTTTGAAAAAATATAAAATCATTTTTGGATTCAGCGTAAAAAAATACATCAAATTAAAAAAAGAATGATTAAAATCGGTAAATAATTAACGAAGTTATGACAATTTTTGCAAATTTGAACGGCTGAATTGAGTTGTGGCGGCGTGAATCACGCTCCTCCGAGTACCCCCACTCCGACGTTTAGAGGTTGAAAAAAGGATATATTTACTTTTACTTGATGTAAATGAAAAATAAATGCACAAAACCTTATGTTCAATTTTTTTTCGTAAAATACATGTATTGAACTATAAGTGGCACAATTTTCAATTAAAAATATTAATTATTATCTAGTCAGGAATTTTTTGAAAAATAAAAACTAACTCTCCCCCCCTTGAAACTAGGTTGGATTTTTTTTTTGAAAAAGTTTTGTAAAAACAAATAAAATTAAATGCCGTTTACACTAAATTGATAAAGTTAAAATTGACTGAGTTATTCCATTTGTTTATGTAAAAAAAACATACCCTTTTTTGAAGTCCATTATTATGCACTTAGATAAAAAAAATCAATTGGCCATTTAAGTAGGATGAAAGTTTGACTTCTTAAGTGTACTTTCCAAAAAAAAAAAATCGAAATTCGATGGACCAAAAGTGGGGAAATTCCGTTGAAAAATTACATGTTTTTAGTTAACAAATGGAATTATGCATAAACTATTTCTCCGATCTAGTTAATTTTTTTGGGATTTATTCAGCTACGCAAGGAGAACATTCCTGGTAAGTTATGAACAAATTCGATAATTATTAACAATGTTATTAAACAATTAAAGAAGTGCTATTTTTAATGGTTTAAATTCATTTGCAACTAAACTAATTAACCTTTTTTAACGTATGACCCATCATTTGAAAGGTATTTCCAAGCTCTATAACTTTCAATAACAACGTTTTCCCCTAAAACTTAACCGGAAGCAACGAGCATCGAAAAACCATGTTTTCCAAACTTTGGCGATTGTTTACACTGTTTTTCGCACCCGGAAATCGAGAGCAAACTGTGGGGCTCTTATAAGGAGCCCCCAAACTACCAGAAACCGTTTAGACTTTGCTGTTTGTATTTTTGTGCACTTTTTGTCTTCATTGACTGGCCTAACTGGCTATTAGGCCACGCCCAGAGCCTGGGCCGACCAATCACATTGCAGAAAACTTTTACCGAAATCGCATAGGTCTCTTGCAATCGTAGTATGAAGAACTTTCATGCTAAAAAGCCCAGATATTTCTCTTCGTGTTGAAAGTAAATATTTTAATGAAAAAAAACATTCTAATTAATAATAATTTTCGTGAAACTCTGATACAATGAAAATATCCTATGGCCGGTTTGCCCCACAGGCCCATTTTGAGAATAAATATTTGTCAAACAGAAACGCTTTGCAAATTTATCAAAGTTTTTGGTGGTAAATATTCTTGAGGTTTGTACAGTAGTGTTCAATGAAGCCTTCCTCGGATGATCGTGTTGCACTCATATACATACTCCCATGAGTGCAACACGATCATCCGAGAAAGGTTTCATTGAACACTACTGTACGTTCAAAACCTAAGACCTAATATTTGGAAATATTACACGATTTCCTCAGAATTTCCTTAAGAACAAGTTCGTAAAAGTACTAAAAAAACTAAAAAAAATACGTTTGCCCCCAGCGTTGCACAAACAAAAGTAAAAAATGTCAAATTGGAAAAATAAGGTATACTACACATGGTTGTTTCAAATTTCTAAACAACACTTTTGACAATTGAGCCCCTGGATTCTATAACGGCCGCTGCGCGCGGTCTGGAAGGGATAATACCAGTCAGGTAGCAGTGAACGGCCCACACTGAGAGAAATGGATAGTCAGATTTTGATGTTAAAAAGATGATGTTACACGATACTATCATTATGCTACTGCGCGGATCCTCGCCTGTACCGACGCCGGAGTAGTGGTACTGGCTGGGAACCGCCTGCCTACCGCCCGAGAACTGGTACACGGAAAAAAAAAGTTCACGAATTCTTGAAAATC